CCTGAGCGATTCAGGGCAGAAAGAGAAAAAAATGAGAGACCTCATCACTGACGGTGAAATCACGCTGTGGACTGAGGTGTGGAATGAACTCGGCTCCCTACGCCAGCTTTACAGAAAACAAACAAGAAAACCAGGCAGGAGAGAACGATACGTTTCAAGGTCGGGGCAGGCTTCCCAGTGGCATGGAGGAGTTTTAGGTGCTAAGCAAACCCAGCTCTGTCCTAACCTCTTGCCTTGGGAGCAGAATAGGCCCTGTGTTGTTGGCTGAACTGTCCTCCAAAAAGATCTGTTCAGGTCCTCACACCTGGTACCTGTGAACGTGACCTTGCTTGGAAATAGGTTTTTGCAGATGCAATTAGTTAGGTTATAATAAGGTCTTACTATGTTAGGGTGGGCCTTAATCCAACGACTGGTATCCAAGTAGGAAAAGAAAGCAGAGTCAGACACACATACAGGCAGGAGACAAGGCAGAGACAGGGTTATGCTGTCCCAGCCAGGAAATGCCAAGGATGCCAGGAAATGCCAAGGATGCCAGGAATCACCAGAAGCTGGAAGCGACAAGAGGGACCCTCCCTGGAGGACCTTCCCTGGGGCCTTCAGAGGGAGGGCAGCCCCGCCACGCCTTGATCTCAGACTTCGGCCTCCAGACTGTGAGAGGACATCTGTTGTTTTTAGGCTCCCTGTTTGCGGTACTGTTACAGCAGCCCCAGGAAACCAATGTACCTTGTTCCCCCGTCTCCCTTCCAGAACATTTGCCGAGGGTCAGCCACCGCTGCCGAGTACACGCCTCTTCCACAGCCCACGCCCTAGCCCACCGTCCTCTGTCACGCCCGGCATCCCTGTATCAGGGCGACTGCTGCTCCGTTAGTCAGAGGCCACCTCGCAATGGGTGTGGGGTCCCTGGGGACACCCAGGAGGCTGGTTTTCAAACGTGGAGGCCGTTTTTCTTCTTTGAAAGAGAAGTTGGCTAATTTTATAAGGAGTGACATAATTCTACTTATTTCAGCAGTAAAATCTGGAACAAAGGGTCAGTCAGCATGTTTCATAAAGAGAGTCATCGCCCGGCTGGGCGTGGCTCAGCGGTTGAGCGTCGACCTAGGGTCTGGGCGATTGGGGTTCTATTCCCGGTCAGGGCACATGCCCGGGTTGCGGGCTCGATCAATGACTCTCTCATCATTGATGTTTCTCTCTCTCCGTCTCCTTTCCTCTCTCTGAAATCAATAAATATATATTTAAAAAACAAAACAAAAAGAGATGCATTGACTCTGGGATAAGGAAGGATTTTCCTGGAGGACTGGGGACAAATGACAGCCACTCTCCCCTCAGGTTCTGCAGGGTCCAGGTTCCCTGCTGTCCTCCCCTCACCCTCTCTATACAACTTTTCAGAGGTGCCTCTGAAAAGGACTCACACACCTATAAACCGCATCCTTCAGAGCACTGGCGTCACAAATGGCTAAACATAAACCTCTGACACCTGCTCACTCAGAAAGACAAGACTGATCACTCTGCCAGTAACTCCCTAGTTGACACAAGCTGACCCACCCCTGCTAAGGCCATCCCATGACTGCCCCTAGTCTGGAAAGCTCCAGAATTCTTTCCCTAAGGCCCTCCTGCTGAGATGTCCCCATGCCCTGAAATGCCATAGCTCTCCTGCTGCAGCAAGTGATAAACCTGACTCTGTTGACTGTAGGTGGGGCCCAGGCGGTCGCTGACAGATGGGCCTCAACTCCCAGCTCAAGCAACCAGTGGTCACCACGGTCCCTGGATCCGCTGCTGTGTGGTGGGCAACTGTGAGGTGTGTACTAGGTAGCTGGTGACTGGGACTAGGTAAGAGCCCCACATTTGGAAATGAGAAAGGAAGTGGCCTTGCTCAGAACTGTGCAAAGACTTGGAGGGCACCTCACACATGCACGCGAATGTCACAGAGGGAGGCTTGCGTGCACCTGGCTGTGCGTAGGGCATCCAGGGCTGCTTACTCAGGTTCTCGCTCTCAATTCTCTCCTCTCCTCTCCTTTGCCTCCGCCCCTGTCTGGGGAATTCATGGATTACTTGAGCAGAAAGACACAGCATTTCCCACCTGTGTTTCCTGGTTAGGCCTCTACCACTGCAAGGCTTAAACATCAAAAAAATCCTTTTCATTCTTTCACCTAGAGGCCCCTTTTTCATCTGGTTGGGGGAAATAGCAGTCCCCCTTTAATGTTTAATATTTGATGGATGTAATAACTATCAAGTGAGGGCCTTGCCTGTGCCCGACCCTCGCAGGGACACAGTCTCGAACAGGACAGAACGCCCTTGTGCTGCTTCCAGACCATCGGGGGTGGGGAGAGCCGTTTGAGACAAGGGTGTAGGGCTGCTGAGCCCAGAAGAGGGGAGGGAGAGCGTCCTTGCCTGATGTTCACAACAGCTGCCCGACAGCAGAGGACTTGTGGGTGAGGCCTCAGAGGAAGAGGGAGACCAGCATGAGACTGGGCTGCGGGTGACTGCTGTGCTGAACCCCCGCTTCCCAATTCTGTGGCTTAGCCTGCAGGGTTCTGCTAACAGCCCCAGCTGATCCATGGGTGGGCCCAGGAGGCCCTTTCCTGGTGCTGCATGCAGTCCCCCCACAGCCTCCTTATGGTGACAGCGTTCTTGCTGAGATGTCACCGGGCACCAGCAGTGTCTTCCTGGCCGAGTATCTCCCAGGTCTCCCCATTCCTCATAGGTTCCCCTTCCCTGTCTTTTGGCCCCCATGATGGAGGGTCCTGCACATCCCACTTAAAAAGTCAAGGTCATTTTTTTCCGTTCCTCTTCCTGGTACAAATCTAGCTGTAGGATGCATCCCAAGGAACACAGGGCCTGCAGAACTGCTGGCAGCCCGAGCGGCAGGGCCGGGGAGGAGGGCCCCAGCTGCATCACCTCCCCGGCTCGTGAGAACACAGGACCCTTCACGGCAGCACAAGGGCCGGCATTCAGCCCGACAAGCAGGAATTCACTGGGACCAGGTTTTCCTCCTTCATGGACTGAAATGGCTGTTTTATGTGCATCTGGCTGAAATAAGGGGCGCTTCTGTTGATTCCAGGTTTACCTAACTGAGTTCAGCTGCAGGGGGAAGTTTAAGTTGGCTCAGAGTCTGCAGGCACATGGAAAGCTGAAAGGAGCTGGTGTGTCAGCAGACGTGGGGCTGAATCACAAATTTGTTCAGGAAGTCCAAGATTAAAGTCCAGTTTATATTATTATGTAACAGATATTCCCCCCAAGGAACATATCCACGCAAATAAATTTGAAATATTTTTTAGTGCAGTTGGGATACAAAACTCATTTATTTAAGCCTTATGTGAATGATAAATACAGCCACTTCTGAGGAACCCCTTAAGAAGGTAGTTTTAAAATTTGGAGCCGAGTGGACATCCCAAATACTCTGGAATGAGGAGCATCTTGCCAGGAGGATGAGCTCCTGGACAGCCAGGCAGGAAAGGGGGGGCTGTGAAAGAAAAGGACCCAAGGATGGCACGCGTCAGTCTCCCTACCGGTCACAAACAAATGTTTCTGAAGTGTAGATATAAATTGTAAAAAAGGAGGTATTGTGATGTCAAACAATACTTAGAGTGAGCCAGGTTTCCACTCTGGAACGTCGACTTAGGATCTCTGAAAACCCACTTCACAGGTCACGGGAGAACTCTGGCAAGACAGTCTAAAGCCATTTTTCAGAACCCTGGAAATTAAGTTCAAACGGATGAATTCAAAGAGAATTTACTCAAGAAAAACAGCTGAGTCTTAGCAAATGCCTGGTGGCCATGACTTGCCCCATCTTGCTCTCCTCCCCAGCCCACAACTACAGTAACTGTAAAAACCAGCACCCTGGGGTCATCGGTAAGTGGAACACATTTGAAGCTCCTCAGAAGCCCCCAAACGGTCATTTTTTTAATAAATCCTCGCCTGAGGATATTTTTTCTTTTGATTTTTTTTTTTTTTTTAGAGAGAGTAGAAGGGAGGGAAGGTGGGGGAGAGAGAAACATTGATGTGAGGGAGAGACATCGATTGGTTGCCTCCCACAGGCATCCCGATGAGGGCTGGGGATAGATCCTACAACCCAGGTACATGCCTTCGACTGGGAATTGAACTGTGACCCTCCGGTGCATGGGCTGATGTGCTAACCACTGAGCGACACCGGCCAGGGCCCAAAAGGTCACTTTTGACCTATATGACATCTGAGAAGCTATATTCTCAAGGCATCTTCATCTGACCAGACTCAATTGCAATTAAAAAAATTCTGGGCTCCTTCTGAAATGGGTGATTCAAGGGCTAAGTGGAATCATACAAAATGAGCCTGGAGCACCTCTCCCAAGTTCATTCAGGTAGTTGGCAGAATTCAGTAACCTGTGGCTGTAAGACTGAAGTTCCCATGGCCCTCCCACAGCAACTTCCTCAAGGCTGGCAGGAGAACCTCCCCCATGCTTCTCATCCTTGACTCCAGGAAGGGCCCAGAGTCTTTGAACGGTTCACCTGATTAGTTGAGACCCACCCAGGAACATCTCCCTTTTGATTAACTCTAAGTCAACTGACTTGAGACCTTAATCATATCAAAGGTAAAACTGCTTCAATTTTGATGTGTATTATAAATTAGTCCTGGGAGTGAAATCCATCACACTCACAGTGATGCCCACTGAGGAGGGGTCTGAGTCACCAGGGCAAGGAGTCTTGGGAGCCGCCTTAGAATTCTGCCTTCCACAGGCCTGATAGGGTAGCTCAGGTTGGGGCGTCTTCCTGCTACCCCAAGGTTGTGAGTTTGGTCCCCAGTTAAGGCACGTACAAGAATCAACCAATGAATGCATCAATAAGTGGAACAACAAATTGATGGTTTTCTCTCTCTCCTTCCCCTCACTCTCTAAAAAAATCAATCAATAAAGAAAGAAAAGAACTCTGCCTACCACAAAGTGGGCTGGTGGAGGGGAAGAGACAGAAATCACTCTTTTTCATTAAAAAAAAACACCTCTTTGTTTTCATAATTTATTAATCCAAAATAAATTTCACAACAAATTTTATTTCACAGTAAACTTATGACTATATACACACACAACTTCAATATAAAATTATAGTCAAATCTAAATACATCACTAACCGAATAAGACCCACCAATAAAAATAAACTGAGAATTAAAATGCGATATCCTATCAAATGTAAAAGACACTCCAACCTTAAAGATGTTAACTATGAAAACGTGTACCTCAGAATTAATGACATATAATAACTAAAGCTGTTTGTTTCCCCTACATTTTTAAATAATGTAAAGGAGTGTTGCACATTTCACAGGAGTCGACACCACTCTGAGGAGAGTCAGGCAGCTTTCCCCTCCCTACTCAACATGTACATTCCCTCCTCTCCTCTTAACCCTCTAAACAGGTCGGTTCCTTGCTGTGGTTGTGCTTCCTCCTTTGTCCCCGGCTTCTTACTGTGTGCTGTCAACAGGAGCCAGGACAGTGAACACAGCCTTCAGTGAAGAGGAGTGAGGGGCAGAAATGTGGACTTGAACAGATGAACGTAGGTTTGATTCTTGGCTCACAATTATCATCTTGCCTTTGGCTGCAGATAACAGAGAACTCAAATCAAAATGGCTTAAACAGTAAAATAGCATGTATTATTCCACATGGCATATATAGTACACAGTCTGAAGGTCAGCTCTCTCCTCTCTAAGGCTGGTGAATTCCATGGCTCAGCTATCAAGGACCCAGCTTCTTCCCAACTTTCTTGTCATCTTCAGCTGGCCTGCTAGCTCCCCTTGAAGACCTAAGACAGCTGCATCCGCTCTGGGTGTCATATTCAGACACAGCAACATCTAGCCCCTTCCTGTGTGTCTCAGGAGGCTGAGAGGGCAGGACTAAAGCTCAGAGGCTGAGAGGGCAGGACTACAGAGAGCTTAAAAAGAGGCAGACAGGCAGATCCTGACTCCGGGTACCACACAGCGGAGGCCCAGCTACAGCAGTGCACTGGGAAATCTGCTCTAAGGGAAAGAAAGTGGAAACGGAGGCAGGTCGGTTGGCAGGCCCTTGAATAATCCAGCTGTAAGAGACCCCCGGCCTAATGACTGCTTTAGGTGCACAGGGCACATTTAAGAGAATCTCTCCTTTAACTTGATGTAACACTATTTAACAGATTTCATGTCTGCCTCTTCATTTCCTCTCTTGCTTTCGTGGGATTAGGTTACAGCCAAATAACTTTGACTCACACTTTCAAACGGGACTTTGCTAAGGAAGTGTCCCTGACTTTGGTGTACTCCATACAGCAAGTTAATGGTGCTATTATTTTTCCCAGCAATAAAACATGATGATGGCAGTTTCAGTTTCACAGTGTTTTTCTAATGATAATCAGTAAGTACCACTATATAAAAGTACATATTTAGAATCTCATTATTTGTGCTTGGAAAATTCTGTATTTGAATATTATGTTACAGACATCATCACACTCCTAAAATTTACATTTTACATAAGTGTATACTCTGACTACAATTTACGGACCAATGAGGAAGATAACCATTCTTACATCTTAACACCAAAAAAGTTAAGAACTCCAAGTTCAGGAATAGTATAGCAAGTGACATTGTTCCACTTTTATTTGTAATAGTAAGAAATTGGAAACAACTTAAATGTCCAACAATAGGAAACTAGTTTTAAAAAAATATTACAAAACCATAATTAAGCCATGAAACAGAATTGTGAGCAACCATTAAAAATACTGTACAAACAATAATTAAAAAAAATACTGTACAAGTATTTAATGACATGAAATTTTCTAACTGTACATCCACCTGCCATCTATTACCCCGTACTTTCCTAGAGAAACCCAGTTTTCTCTCTCCAATCCTGCATCTCTTCACCCACCCTCATTCGGCCTACCCTTACTTCCTATTTTACTGAGAAAACTAGACAAATCAGAACAGATTTCGGCAATTTCCTACCACAACATTTACCCACCAGCCAGCAGCTCTGCCTTCTAACTCCTCTCCTGTTCCAAGAGCTGACCAGCTCGGTGAAGACCAAGCCCCTCACTTACATGCTAGATTCCGTCCCTCCGCGCCACCCATTAAAGAAGCTGCGTGTCATCATGACACAAGAAGGCGTTTTAAATGAGGAATCTAGTAAACCACCCCAAACCACCAGCCGCGAACAGTCCTGAACACAGGCATAAGCACTCTTCATCTATAAGAAGCTACAGCAGAAAACAAAACAAGGACACCCCAGCGGTGAAAATCACCAACGAAGCCACCCCCTCCCCCCGCCAAAATATGTGGCAGAAGAAAACTAACACAGAAGTCCAAACTGAATGAAGCATCCTATTTGGAAATCTGAAAAAGCAACTCGAATTGAAATTCAAAAACTAAGGGCAGAACTGAGCAAAAAAATAGAAGTAATGAAACAAGACTTGACTGACTCAGAAATAATAAAAAAAAAATCATATAGAAAGTGAAGACTGCTTTACAAGAAAGATTTGAATGGAAACTTAATAAGGGTTATTGGACTAAAGTGGAAAAGAAGAATAAAAATGAGCTGAAGAAAGTAATATTTATTAAAGAAAAACACATATGGAAAAGGAAAGCATACACATATAATGTACACAGTAACTATAATATAAAATGACAGACGCTAAAGCAAATGTTCAGTCATTTAAATAAATGTGAATGGGTTAATTCACTTATCAAAAGAAGAAAAGAATTTTTGGTTTGGGTCACAAGCAGAACTCAACTATACGTCCCATATAAGAAATAAAACTTACTCGGAAAAGCTAAAAATAATATGATGGGCAAATGAATATTAAAAGCAAATGCAAGGGGTCAAATATAGGACGATGGAAGGAGATTTGAATTTGGGTGTTAAATGCACAATGCAATATACAGATGATGTATTATAAAACTATACACCTGAAACCTTTGTAATTTTATTAACCGTCACCCCAATAAATTTAAAAATTATAAAATTACTAGAAAAAAATTTTAAAATAAGTTTTCTGTGAAATAAATAAATAAATAAATGCAAACAAATTTCCAGTTGCAATGCAGAATCTGAAACCACATCAAGGAACTTTCTGCACTGTTACATGAAAATCCATTAGTCTGCATTGCAGGTTGGATGGGTGTTTTACCCATGCATAATTTTGTAAGGTCACACATTGTTTATTTGGAAAATGTTAGTTTACTAATTTATGCAGATCTTTCAAATGTTCCATTATACAATATTTAAAAAATCACACTCTTTAGTATCACCAATCAACCTCACCAAAAAAATCTTTAAATACAGAAGAGCCAACCCAACCAATCTACAGATGCACAAAGAAGAAATCTTTATTTTAACATGGTACCAAGAGTTTGTAGTTGTTTGTTAAACATCATTATTGTGGCAAATGTTAACTGATATAATTTCCAAGGGATTAATATATAAATGTAAAAAGTAAAACTTAAAAAATATTAAAGTGTTTTACAGCCTCATGATAGGGAAGGATTTCTTAAATAAGATACAAAACACAAAATGTACCATAACAAAAAGATTGCCAAAATAAGTAGTTCTACTCATTGAGACATCTCAAAAAAAGTGAAAAGACAGCTCACAAAATGGAAAAAGATCTGCTACATGTACCTCACAAAGGATTATATCAGCAATATATAAAACCAATGTATAGAGGCCAATCAGCCCATTAGAAACAAGCAAAATACATCAACAGTCACTTCACCAAAGGTGAAACTCAAAAGCTCGTAAGCATCAGAAAGGATGTTGAATTTCATGAAAATAAAGCTATGGGACACCATTTTTACACCTACTAAATTGGTAAAAAAATTAAAGTCCTAATAAAATGAAGTATTGTTGACAAGTGGATCAATAGTTCTTTAACACAGCTGATGGGAATATAAACTGCTACAATTACAGAAGATTGGTACCATCTTAAATATTAAGATGATGCAATAATTCTACTACTTGGTATACACTCAGGACAACTCACACACATTTATATCCGGAGACATGAACGCCATTATTTGTAGTAACAGTTTGTATTTAAAAAATTGAAAGTAGCCCGGCCGGGCGTGGCTCAGCGGTTGAGCCTCGACCTGGGATCCAGGCGATCAGGGTTCGATTCCCGGTCAGGGCACATGCCCGGGTTGCGGGTTCGATCAATGACTCTTTCATCATTGATGTTTCTATCTCTCTCTCTCCCTCTCCTTTCCTCTTTCTGAAATCAATAAAGATATATTTAAAAAAAAAAAAAATTTGAAAGTAACCTCAGGGCCCATCAATAGAATAGCTAAATAAACTCTATTCGATGACTGAAATGCTACATAGGATTAAAAATGAATGAATGACAGCTGCATGTATCTACATAAATCTTAGAAGGATAATGTTGAGTGAAAATAGCAAGTTAGCAATTAATACCGAGTATGACACTATTTAAATAAAATCCAAACACAAGCACAACTAAATATACTATTTAATGAATCATGAGGAGGACAATAAAATGATAAAAGATAGTGACAAACTCAGAAGAGGAAGCAGGTCCATGGAGACCCACAATATACAGGGTGTCCCCAAAAAATGTATACATGCTTTAAAAGCTGATTTCTATTACATTTTGAAAATGAAATGTATTTTAATAAACACTGCCTTTATAATTATTCAAAGTGTGTATACATTTTTTGGGACACCTTATATATCTATGCATATGTGCCAAATATTTTATAATTTTTTTAGTGGGGGAGGGGAGAGAATGCGATTTCTATTTGAGAAAATGGAAAAAACCCTGTTTCCATGTCAACTTCTAGAGATGTTTCAGAAAAAAAGAAATGAGCAAAATCCTAATTTTACCTTTTTTTATGCTTTTGATTTTCATGATGACTTCTTTTCAGTATCTAAAACCTAAAATATGAAAAAAAGTCACACATAATCATTTTTATGCATCATCACATATATCATACACTTGTAATTTTTTCCACGATCCCAATAATATTCACCCTAGTAATCATCTAACAATATTGACTGTAAGAGAAACTGAAAAACAAATTTTACATGTCATTTTTCCAAACATATTTCATACTATTAAACAATCAAATATTTGGTACGACTTCTAATTCTAGAGTAACCCTTCAGATTTTACAACCTAAAAATATCCAGAAATAAGCACCTTTGACTTTCTAACATTTGCATGTGCTCAAAAAAACTGCCACAATATGGTATGGCTTGGTTTTAAAAGAATCTTTTATTTTCACTTATATTTCAATTTAATTTTGGAGAGACTTGCTCCAAATAACATATGGGAAATGACAGAATATAAACGACTATTATTTTTCAATCATCCTTTCTCATGGACTGAAAGAACATTAGAAGAAAAACACTTTAAAATACAGTATTCTGCGATGTGACTCTAAAATGTTTATCAATTAAGGATCCTTAACTTTCCATCCAAGAGAATGACAGGAGTACCTTGCTCCTATTTGCTGTTTCCTTTTTTAGCTTAGTTATTAACATTTCTAACTGCACTGAAGGTTTTAAGAACAACCGAATTTATACCTGCAATGACTGTAAATTTTCCTTTAAGCTACAAGGAAAAATATAAAAATGAATAAAAATATTCTAAACTGAAGTAAATTCTTAGATTATCAGCCCTAATATATGCCATATGCTAAGCTATGAGGCATTTTCCATCAAGAACAGTAGCTTTTCAAATTCTCACCCTTAGTTCAAACATGTTCCTAAAAATAAAAACCAAACAAACAAAAGATGACTAAAATGTCTAGTAAGATGACTACTTACTTTAGCCAACAGTTCCTGGGTTTCAGCAGTCAGGGGAGCATGGGAAAACTTGCAGTGCTCGCCCTGGTAACATTTTGTTCCTGTATGGTAAAACTTGCAAGGATATTCATGTATCCCAAATGTTAAGGAAGAAGACAGTCTTAATCCAACCAAAATAATCTGTTATTCATTTAATGACTTTCTTTTTCCTACTTAAAGGCCTTTCCAACTAGGAGAGACATTGAATTCTCCATTGAAAATTCCCCATTTAAGACAATAAATTAATTGGGTGACATGAAAAAAAATCTAATTTTAGGATTATATTAATCAAGTTTATTGACTATTACTGGACACTTTCTGCCTTCATATCTACTCTTATAACAGACTACAGATACGTTTCATTGATATAAGAAAAAGATACAGCCCAGTAGCTCAGTTGGCTGGAGCATCTTCCTACTACACCAAGGTAGCAGGTTTGATCCCGTCAGAGCACATACAAGAAACAACCCGTGAATGCACAAGGAAACAATAAATCAATGTTTCTCTCACTCTTTCCTTTCCTCTCTCTCTAAAATCAATAAATAAAATTTAAAAAAAGAGAGGTGTGTTTTAAATACCTTGAGAAGTGTGATTATTTTTATTTTTAATATGTTTTTATTGATTTCAGAGAGAGGAAGGGGGAGGAAGAGAGAGAGATAGAAACATCAATGATGAGAGAGTCATTGGTCAGCTGCCTCCTGCACGCCCCCTCCTGGGGATCCAGCCCACAACCCAGGCATGTGTCCTGACCGGGAATCGAACTGAGATCTCCTGGATCATACACAGGTCGATGCTCAACTGCTGAGCCACACCAGCTGAGCAATGTGATTATTTTTAAAACATTCTTTTGGGGTAGAGGAATGAAAGTCAATGACAGTGGTATGTCTTAGCAAATCTGGATCCTTTGTGTAATACAATCAATTTACACAATGTCAACATTATTTCCTAGGAAAAGAATCTCAAGTTAGAATTTGAGATTTCTTGTTCTCTAAAATGTTCCCGTTCCACATTTTTACAACATGTCTACCATGTGCACTGGAGTGAGAGTTATTCTTCAAGTAAGGGGCAGCTAACCCCCCCAGAGTACAGAACATACAGAAAACAAGCATGTTCAAATTAGGGAGATCCCGCCTCTTCTTAGATTCAGTGAGTGGATGTCACAGCAGAAATTCTGACAGGTCTTCCTGGAACTTGAACAAGTCTCATGAACCTGCTGTACTTCATCTGAGAGAGTCTGCGAGGAATCCCTCTTTTCTTCCAGGGGGAAAAATCTGTGTACAACTGAATCACTTCAATACTGAGTTGGATTTGGATAATAAAATTTTGCCACAGCTAAGACACTGGTTTCATTCAAAATTATACATATTTTAAATGTTCAGGTAAGTATTTATGAAGAGGAAAGTTATAATCTTGTGATAAAGGATATTATGCAAATACAGACAGTTTTCACCTCTGGTGCAGTATCCTTGGACATAGAATTTACACATTTCCTTTTTCTTTTCAATCTCTGCGTCGTGATCAAATTTACACTCATCTCCCTGGGCCAAAGAAGGAACAGAGAAAGGCATTATTTCTCAGTTACGTCACTACAATTCCCGCTAAACTTTAAGCAATCCCAGAAAAAAACAAAGTCTTAGAAGCTGTACGGTCCAATTCTTAGTGAGTTATCTTATGACCACATTACATTTATCTACTTAAAATATTAAGTCCTGAACATTTGTAATACAAGACATTTTTAAAAAATTCTTTCTTAAACCTAAAAGGGTATTTCAGTAAAATTTTCTAAGTGAACCTTGTCAAGGAGGAAACAGGTAAGCGTTTAGAGTGTTTAATGGAACTAGGAGTTGGTATTAGTACATTTTTGCTATACTTTACATTTTGCTATATTTTTGCTGACAGTTTTTGTACCTTAATACATTTCCTTTCAAGGAAATATTTACAAACTTGCTTTCCCTTGCGCTCCACTGTGTGTTGGTTGATGAACCCCTGGCTCATTCGCACGTGCTGCTGCTTCTCTTTAGGTTTACCATCCTTTGAAAACAAAAACAAAACATGAAATGTGAGAAAACAGAAAATTAAATATTTTATTCCATTGCACAAAATTACTTTAAACCACCTACAAAACATTAAAAAGTGACTCTTCTAAACTGACCTTCATGTATAAGATTTGGACTTTTGTACACGAGTTGAAAAATCAATGTCTTGTCAGTTTCAACAGGATTCCATCATTGAACATTAGTACTTATACAATTTGAATATCTTAATGTACTTTGCCCTTCTTTTTCAAATGTGTAAAAAATAAAAAATAAATAAAAGCACTACTACTTGTGATAAAAAGCGAGGTGTAAGAACAAGCCTTTTTGGAACAATGGAGGCAAAACTGAAAATCCTAAGAACTGAAAGCAGTGTGATATCTCATTTCAGTGAGATGCTCTTGGGGCGTGGGCTGAGTGTACTAACCAGCTCAAATGAACAAATGCAGCCTGACCTGAGTGCTGTGCACTGAAAGGTTGTCAGTTCAATTCCTGGTCAGGGCACATACCTGGGCTGAGGGTCTGATTCCCACTCAGGGATTGTAAGAAATGTAACCAATCGATGCTTCTTTCTCTCTCTCCCTCTTCCCCTCTCTAAGCATGTCCTCAGGTGAGGATTAAAAAATAAATTTTAAACAAATGAACAAATGTAACTAAAACTATTCCCTCAAAGATGGTGATAAAGGTATAAAAACAAAAGGGGTATTTCATAATACATTTTAGCACTTAGGATCATAAACCACCACTAGCGTGTTAACTTACAATACAGCTTCCAGCTTCTGCACATCAAATTTCTGAAGAGTTTGAGAAATAAGAGTATGTGCAAAGAAGGGAGCTGGCTGTATGTTTATATGTCTCCTTCATAATAAGGTCAAATTTCCACTGAGCACTATCAAATGTGTCTTATAAATATGTCAATTAAAATCTCTGGTTTTATTTGGTTATGTTATGAAATTGTAACATATACATTTAGACTCGTTTCCCATGTAGAAGAGCTATCAGCTTTGGCGAAATAACCTGTTAAGTTAGTGAAAGGGAATACTGATGAACGTGGTCAAGACACAAAGTCCCAGCACTGGCCTGGCCCTCTGTGACCATGGGCAGTCAACTGAACCCTAGGGCCTGATTCCTCATTTGTAAAATATGGGGGCAGAGCAAGATTTTACATAAATATATTCCAATCTATACTATTTGGTACTTATAGTATTTTACCACTTGTCCCTGTGGCCAAACCTAATAAAAATGGTTGCTAACAGTTTAGAAGCTCTCAGAAAAGCAGAGCCCAGAGGAGTCACCTACTGTCCCACCCTGATTACATGTGCAGACCAGGGAAGAGGAACTTCGACATGCAAAATCAAACTACGAGGAGGGTAGGGAGTGGGTGGTCAGGCCAATGCTTGGATATATTCATTTTTAATTTCCAGAGGGAGTCAAGAACCAGTAGACCACGGACTGCAACAGCAGAAACTTTGTAAGACTTGGTGGCCTTTGAAATGTGTTCATGATTATTGTATCTTCTCCCTGCTACCCTGTCAGTTTTTCCATAGACACTGACAGCACAACACTCAAAAATCAAGGGGCTCATGTGCCTGTATTCGGGGCAACAGGTATATGAGGCCTTAAAGTGAGTTCTGGCAGCTCCTGTGTGAGAACATGTAGCCCACTGAGGTCAGAAAAGATTTCACTACCAATAACCCTCACTTTGTAGCTTGTAACCGAGGGTAAGGCAGAAATTGTCCTTGTACCTGTCCCTGTAAGCCACTGGTCCTCAGTGATCCATTTGACCCCTTGTCTGCAGCGCCAGGCCACTTCCGCTTCATTTTCTTCTTACGTGCAGCTTTAAGGTTTTGATTTTTTTGTTTCCCAGCTAAAAACAGAAAATTAATTTTAATGATGACGTAAAAATACAATAGCAGCCCTGGCCAGTGTGGCTCAGTTGGTTGGAGCATCAGCCCATACACCAAAGGGTCACAGGTTTGATTCCCAGTCAGGGCACATACCTAGGTTGCGGGTTCGGTCCCCAGTCTAGCCACAAGCCAGATCCTCTGAAGTGTTCAGGGTATGATGGATCTAATTAGAAATTGCCATAGCACTATAACGGTAAAACTTTAAATGTTTAAACTGACTGCATATATTACTATTGGATTTTTTACTGAAAATATTTCATATAGATTAAATTTATCTATGACCCATATTTTAAAAGAAAAACATTTTAAGGGAGGAGGCAGTAAATGATGATTAAGAATTTCATTTATACAATGACACTGTAATAACTATGTATGGTGTCAGACTTATTCACATAACTCATGTTGTAAGTTACAGAACTGTCTAATCACTATGCTGTATACCTGAAACTAAGATATGTAAAGGGATATAGGTCTGAGTTTAGTCTGACACACAGCCATCCCTGACATTAAATCAATTCGTCTTCAGATGACAACAATACAAACAGGCATATCTTGTCCCTTATATACGCAGAGGCCGGGATTTAGCATTCGCCCTTTCAGAGCAGTCATGGCCTTTGATAACCCTCCTGAACTCTCAGCTCCTCCTGCAAACTGAGCATTGTACACAGAGCGGCCAGGGCTCGGCAGGGGTCTCAGGCTATGCAAGCTCACATCTGCTGTAAATATCCATAAGCCCATAACCTTATTAAATGCAGGAGAACCCCCTCCCCACTTCATGAACAACTGTGATCGCTCCTCTAGACGGACTTCAAACGGTAAAACAGTTTGCCCTTTACCTTTCTGTGCACACTTCGCTTCCTCTTTCCTCCTGGATTCTTCAGAAGACGGTAGGGACCGAGCGGCATTTGCCATTTCCTTGGCTTGTATATACTGTTGAAGTTCTTTAGCAAAATTATCTTCTGGCTCCTGATTGCAGATATCACTATCACTGTATACATCATAGTCCTTACTTCTTGATTTTCTACGTAGCAAATTTTTCGGTGCTGTTGCAGAGTTTCCAAAGTGCCTAAACTAAGTAAAAATTAAATTTGCAATTTCAAAAACCTAGCATGATTCAAAACAATGTGGTTATAAAGAAGAAACAATGACTGGCCATAAATTGATCACTGCGGAGGTTGTGTGATGGGTACATGGGGGTTCATATACTATTCTTTCCACTCTCATGTATTTGAAATTTTCCAGAATTAAAAAACAAAAACCCAGCACAACATAGCCATCCTTGAAGATAATTTGAGGGAAGATTCTGAATTTGTACACTCTATGTACTTTGCTGCATTAGAGGAGTAAACCCCCAAATCTTTTTTTCTTTAATCCTCACCCAAGGATAGGTTTTTCATTGAGTCTAGAGAGAGAGGAAAGGGGAGAGAGACAGAGATTGAGAGAGAGACATTGATGTGAGATCTATGTGAGAAACATCCATCGGCTGACTCACACACAAGCCCCAACAGGGGATTGAACCTGCAATCTGGGTATGTGTACCAACCGGCATTAGATCTCATGACCCTTCGAACACAGGATGACGCTTTAACCACTGAGCACACCGGCCAGGGCTTGTGGTACTTTGTTATGGCAGTTCTAACAAACTAATACAAGCTTTAAGCTTTAAATCACTAAGGTTAGTTAAATTAGCAAATCAATATCCTTAAAATTTAGATCTAATTTGAAAAGAAGTTTCTGAAACACTTTACAACCCATTTCAGAAATAGGAAAAACAAAAATCAAAGCAATGCACTAAAAATAGTTCATGCTAAATGACAAAGCCCTCAAATAATAAATTTTTTAAAAAGTGTAACTAGGTTTGATATAAGTAACTGGGTCTCAAATGCTAACTAAAATGAGACAAACAGAATCCTTAAAATATTTTTCATATCCATTACAGTAAAACCTCGATACAATGAACTAATTCAGGGAAGGGGGAGTTGTCTGTTAAAGCTGGAAGTCCATTATATAATAAAGTATGTTTTCTGAATTCATATGTTAAAAAATTGACAAATTAGTTAGTTTATCTGTTTTTACTTATGTAGACATGTTTATGCAATTAAAATTAAGTATGTATGAAAGGTTTAATTTAACAGAAAAGTTTTCTAATTGTATTACTGTAATTTTAAATTTATACTGAACAGGTCTAGTAAATGCGTGCATTCACTAGTCACCAAGAGTAAACAAGTGCACAAGGCTGGGGCATGACTTAGCGCACGTGGGAACGTCCTCCAGCACACATTAAAATTGCTGCAGAAAGTCACACCACATAACAACAGAATCAATAACCGTGTGTGATACCGTGTGATCAAGTGCTAATCATTCGCCAAATGCTTACGAGCAGTGACTCTTGGATTTAAATATGTAGACTATAGTTGTAAATGTGTAACATTTACTTATGTCGGCGAAATTACCAACATATGGCCTATTCGCTAAAATGTGTTCAAAATAACAGTGAATTAATATAAATAACCAGTTAATTTAATTATAAGCAAATCTTGGTTAACAGTATTTAAAAGTTAATAGGGTGTTAATTTTCACACACGACACACAGACCAGAAATTTTGTCCACTAAATCCAAAGTCCTTTAAATTAAGGTCCGCAAAATCAAGAGTTTACTGCGCTGTTTTTTCAATGTGCTAACTTAATCTTACTTTTTTGGGAATATGCTCACACTCCAGTTTTACTTTCCATTTTATTTTCTCTTCTTGTGTTTCTTCAACTTCTGTATCATCTATTTCATCATCGATTCTGTAGCAAAAATATGAAATAACACAAGAGAATTTTTTCAACCTGAAAAGGGTTCATACCAAAGTATTAAAATCTACGGCTTTGGCTTATGTTCAAATTTCCCTCAAAGAAATTCTAAATTCAAATTCTACTCCAAATACTCTAGAGAAATAATGTAGGAAATTATGATGAACAATAAATAGCAACATGTTTACAAGTAAAAAATAAAACTGGAATTTTAGAATACAAAACCTTAATGCTCAAGTATCTCAAGTATTAGCAGCTTTTTAATTTATCCATTCATTCAACAAATACTGAGTATCTACCATACACCAGGCTCTGGGCTTTAAATTGTAGGATACAACAATGAACAAAACAGACGTTATCCCTGCCTTCTGAGAACTTTCTATCTGCTTCAGAGAAAGAAGGAAAGCAATTTCAATGTGGTGTGGTAAGTACAGGAATATATATGAAGCACACAACCCAGGTTTGGGGGCCAGAGGCTTTCTGAACCTAAAAGACATGCAAGAGTTAGTAAACAAAGAGGAATGAATGCAAGGGAGAAGAGTATTTCAGGTAGAATGTAGGGTGCCTTCCCAGGAGAGCTCAGGAGAGCCCCAAACTTTTATTCAACGGAAGATTGCATGCATATCTTCAAGTAAAGTTACTTGAGGATATTCCAGCAAAATTAAAAGTGAACCCACAAAAGATAAAGACAGGACATAAAAAAAAACCCTGGTGAACAAAGAAGCCAATAAAATTCAAATAAACCTAAATAATAGTTGATGCCATAGATACAGGACACTGAACACAATTTTGTCTCAGAAAGCAGGGACTATTGAATAAAGTTTCAGATATATGTTACATGCCAGATAAAGGCAAGAACTAGGCAATGTAAACATGCTCAAAACAACATGTGACAAGAATGTAAATAGTGGTTTTGTGCTTCTTTCCAAGTTACAGGAGTTTAGGCTTCACAGCTCCATTTAATCAGTTTACCACTAATCTGTCTCCAGTCAGAGCTTCAGAGTTACACCCATCAAATAAGCTACCAAGTTTTGAGCCTTCTACAGAAGCTACCATTGCAAGAGCCAATAAACCAAATCCTGTGGACCTTCATTGCTCTAGTTTTCAGTAATGAATCACAGGGAACAGGAATTCATCTATCCTTGGCAGAGTAATGATGACAGCAGCAACTAACACATGCACTTACTCTGTGCCAGACACTGTCCCATACGCATTACACATATCACAACAACTCTATGACATACATACTACTGTTTTAAAAGCCTGTTTTACAAAGGAGAAAACTGAATTACAGAATGCTTATGTAACTTGTCACAGACCTAGTAAATGGTGGAGCTGAGGTTGGAACTCGGGCAGGCAGAGCCAACTCCCTGTTCACCATATCCCCCTGGTACCTACTAGACATAATCTTAATATATCCCAAACTGAACTTTATATATCTAAAACTGAACTCCTGCTATCTTACACTGCAACTCCAACCTTCTAATGATACTGACCAAAATCCTTGATGTTGACCTTGACTCTTATCATATCCCCCATCCAATCTGTGAAGACATCCAGTTTATCTTCAAAATATATCCATATTTCACCACTTCTTGCCACTAATACTATGATGCAAGCTATTCTTGCCCTTCTACATTCTACTCTCAACACAAGCAGAATGACGCACTAACCTGTCGCTCTCTACCGAGTGGCCTCTCACCTCATTCAGGGTAGAAGTCAAAGTCCTTATTATGTCACCTACAAGTCCCTACATGATCCGCCTCCCTTACCCTACCCAGTACCACTCAAGTCTGACTACTCTTACTCCACTCCAATTGTCATTCTGGTCACTTTGCTCCCGTCACTCAATCACACCAAGCTCACTGCATTTCAGGACCTTTATACGGAACATTCTCCTGCTAGGTATCAACCTCCTCCACCTCCTTCAGGTCCCTTCTCAAATATTACTTATCAGTGTTAATATAGAAGTTTTCCCTTAACTACCTTCTTTAAAATATCTACATCCATCCTCCCTTCAACTACCCTTCTTTCATTTTCTCTATGGCACTGATCATCACCTAAAATACCATACAGTAACATCCACAGGCTTTTGGAACTGTGGTGAAGCATATAATGCAACCAACTTTACCACAGGCTAACTGATGTACACAGGAGTTAGGTTCCTGCGGCATCTCATCAACCTTGGGATGAAATGTTGGACAAAATGACATTACGTGAGGACCTGTTGTATATTTACATATTGTCTGTGCTCCAAGAATATAAATCTCAGGAATACAGGACTTTTTAAAATATCTTTCATTTATTGCTATATCCCCAAGGCCTAGAATAATGTCTTGTACATAGCAGTTGCTCAATAAATAATTCCATACGAAAGTTACTAGTAAAAATAAAAACACCTCCAGAAACCGTAAAAGATTGATTTACTTGACTGCTTTTAAAACAAACAAAAACAAATATGCATTGAAAATAATGCCACAGGCAAGGTCAAAAGTCAAACAACAAACTGGGGGTAAAATATCAACAGACTAGAGATCCTCAAAGTTTTAAAAAGAAAAACTTTTAAACGCAAAGGATATGAAGGAGTAACAATTCACAGACGCTCACCATAACCACAGTGCAGCACCATTTTCACCTGAGATTTTGGCAAAAATCCGAAAGTGTCATAAGAGGACATAAAAGCAGTTCAGCAACATTTCAAACTGACGGCTGCTAGTGGTTTTTTACATGTTGCTAGTCTTTTTTGTGATGGTTCACCTTGCTGATTTCTCTCATGTATTTTAATAGTTTACTAATTGATTTCTCCTTTTTCTTTGTAGATGATCCTATCATCTGCAAGTAATCAGTGTTTTTGTCTCTTTTCAATATTTATAAGTCTTATTTTAGCCACTGTGCCTTAGAAGCATGAAATCATGCTTGATGAAATCATAGGTCCTAGAGTAAGACTAAGTAACTTAATCCTAGTTTTGCCACTTACACTGTGTAATCTTGGCAAGTTATCATCTCTGTGCCTCAACTTTCTCATCTACAAAAATGAGGATATCTTAAAGGTTGTGAAGATTAAATATTTTGTGTAAACCACCACAGTAAAGCTCTTGATGGTAGCCTGAATTAAAGCAATAGTTCCAATTAAGATATGTGAGACAGAAAAGATTTGAGCGATATCGAGGTCAAGTCAACCGGAATAAGACTTCCCGCAGATGAGAGAAATAAAGGAGTAAAGGCTGTGTGTTATTTTTTTGGCTTAGGGAAATTGGAGCAAAGATGCATGTTTAGAAGATGGGTCTTTAGCATCTCAAGGTCACAGGGAAAAGAATGAATGAATGTAGGGGTGCAAACTACACTACCCACGTCTCCAAGAATGAGATGACTAAATTAGCGTCATTTGGCCAGCGGCCTCATTTCCCTTTTCAACATAAAGGAAAAATATCCAAATGGCCTCTGCTGCTTTATAATGGTTTTTAGGGTCTTTCGATGCTAATCAGTGGAATAAGAGCAGACTATTCACTCATCCTTCACCGCTTGGTGAACTGACGGTTTCGCATTTTCTACCCAAAAAAGTGCCCAGCGCGTATGGGTGAGAAATGACAGATGACCTCTGCCTTCCGGGAGCTCGCACGTGCTCTTGACTCGCCCGGAGAAAGGGGAGCATCCGTGCGCACCCCCGCCCCGCCCGGGCCCGCACCTCCGGGTGTCCCGCGTGGCCCACTCTCTCCCCACGCCCCCCGCGACCTGGCGTCCTGGGCGCAGCCCGGCGCCTCGGAAACGCGCGAGGGGGCGGCACCCGCTGGGGCCCCGGCGCTCAGAGCAGGAAAACACGGGGCATCACCTGTCCTCCGAATCCGTGGCGTCGGAGTCCACGACCGGTGTCCTGCCCAGGGCCGGGTTGGGGGGTTTGGAGAAAAGATTCTCAAAATCCATCCTCCCGTCCCGAGTCCCGCAGCTACCGAGTGACAACCACTCCAGCGGGAGCGGCGAGAGGAGAGGTGCCCGGAGCCGCGCGAGCTGCCCGCGCATGCGCCGCCCGCCCCCTCTGCGCACGCGCTTCTGGTCCCAGTGCGCACGCGCGCTCTTATCCGCCGTGGCTCCGCGCGGGCGCCGCCCTGAGCCTGTGCCCCTAGCTGAGCTCGGCGACCCGTTATCTACCTATTTACTGTAATTTTTAGGCTTGGTCCTTCGGATTCTCCACTGGTTTCTTTGCAACCTCAGTTTTTAAAAAAGCGGTAGCCGCAGCTAACATTGATTTGAGCGCTCGCTTGATACCAGGCATATTTCGCATTCAGCCCACCTAATGCTCACTGCAACCCAGGACCCGTACTGCAGGTGCTGTTCACATTTTCCTAACGAGGAAACACGGCTTACGTGACTTGTAGAGTGTTGTCATGCAATGGGCTTAAACATAACTTTTAGGCAGAAAGTTCATTTAAAAGTACGAAGAATTAAGAGGATTCAGAAGACAGTTTGTGGTTGGGAAGGCTTATTGAAACAGGGCATATTTGAGCTCGGTATTGATGTAATTTCCACAGGAAGGGATGAAGCTAGGATTATAAATGGGCTCTGGAACAAACGCAGGTTTCCAGTCCCTTTCATGCATTAGAATCAAAGGAGAGATTATAAGAAAGTGGCATGAAATCCATTGGTGGTAGATTAGGGAGGTGTGGGGGAAAGCAAAGCATTGAAATTATTAGAATTGGATAAAAAACAAAATGGTGAGATACATGCTGCTTTTACATTGGTGGGTATGGGATAATTAACATTTATCATTTACAAGTAAATAAGCGGGGAACAAGATAACGAGAAGTTCCATAGTCTCTGGCCAGGTGGAGGTGTTGGAAACGAAAATTACCACTACCTTTCAAAGGTGTGTTACTAGATGCAAGAGAACAAGGAACAGGGCTCACTTAAGGCAAAGAATGGCGTTGCTAAGGAAGCTAACAGGCCTAGACCTTGACCACCTGCCCTGACCTGTCCAGTTAGGAATTTGTGATCAGACCATCGTGCCGAGTTACACCTGGTCACGCAGCCTGCCCTGCCTGCCCTGCGGTCCCCCGCCTGGCCTACCGTGGGCCCTTTTTGTTTTCACTAAGCAATGACAAAAACAAGTCAGATATTTGGGAGGATCAAGCATTAAATTCATCATTTTAATAAAAAGCAAGGAACTTTCCTCCAGAACTAAGGCAAGCTATTTTCCTCAAATTGTGATTCTGAGCACTAAACATTACAAAAAGAGAGGCTCACTACAACCCTGAAGGAGAAGGTACATTTCTCCATCATTTGAGTAACAAAAATTAAAAAAAAAAACACAAAAATACCCACGAATGCTCTTTATTACCCCACACAGCCCACACCGGAGGACGGCTTCAGAAACCATTTGTTAGGGGCCTGCCCAGCCTTCGGTGGGGGGCGTCCTCCGGGCTCCCCCGAGACCCTGCCCGCGCCGAGACGCTGGCGAGACCCGGGAGGAAGCCGCCTCCCCGCCCTGAGCCGCCTCCACCGCCCCACGAAAGCTGGGGACCCGCCCCTGAGGGTTATTGACAGCCACATCCTGCAATGGTTGACGCGCTCGG